CCTCTATCTCTTCCTCCTCCCTAGTTTTTCATCAAGCTTTGATTCATTCTTATTTTCTGGTTTCCCTTCAATTTTTTGACAGGGTTTTGTTAGGGTGGAAAGCTTACTAGGTCCGATTTCGTCTTCTATCTGCCTCTCTTCCTTCTTTTCTTCCCTTCTTTTTATTTTCTTCCTTTCTTTTTATTTTCCTGCTTATTTCTCTTTGAATGCAAGCACTTCTGGCACTGATCAGGTCAGTTTCTTCCTCCTCCTTTTCTAGCCTCTCAGTCCTGCTGAGAACAACAGACTTGCAAAATTCCTGCAAGTTGACTCCTCATTCCCTTGGCCTCTGACTCCAAGGCCTGCACTGCTGAAGGAATCTGGTACTCAGACAGAATAAGGACCAGACTAGCAGGATTTCTGCATACCTTGACTCCTAAATTTCTGTAGTTTTATGCCACCAAGTTTGTGGTAGTTTGTTATGGCAGTCACAGGAAACTAATATAAATTATCTATAATTATGAGAAATTCTAGGGAGCTTTTATCCAAAAGGATGGCTTCAGTTTGGGAACTTCTAATTTGAAGTCCCTCTTTATGGTCACATTTAGCAAGGCCATTTGTCCTTTAACAATATTACTAAGTTTTCATTATATCTCATCTAGGTACAGGAGAAAATTTTTGTTCTCTATTGTAGAAATTTGGGAGAGAAGGCATGAGTCTAGCTCATCCAATGGAAGTTTCAAGTCCCCTGCCTTTAAATTGATGAGCTCTTCCAAATGCTGGGTCTTGTCCCTTAAGCTGATATAAAGGTCACTCCCCCTACTTGTGGGGCTTGTCTGTGGAGGTCACCAGGAGCTCTGCCAACAGCTCAGGGGGATAACCCTATGCTCCCAGGTCAAGGACTCCTTAACACTTTCCCTTAGAGGCTGCCAAGGATTATTGTGATCTTGTGCTTGTAAACTGACCTATCCTTCATGTGGGCTACCTAATGCAGCTGCCAATGGAGCTTCTTTCCTACCCAGACACCTCCTAGTTCCAAACTTTCAACATCAACCTCTTTCACAGGCAACACAGTACCTTACCTGTTAGCTGAGATTCTGATACCTATAATCAGAGAATTACTTGGTCCCACATAGACTAAAAGTATAAGAAGAACTTCAGCACACTAAAACATATTGATGTTTCAGATAATGCAGAATGGGGTCTGGTGATGCTTGGGGAAAGTCAGACGGCCAATCAGATAGATCTCACCAGGGCAGCATCCAATTTTTGCTATATATGTTCAATAAATATCTGTTGCATGTATTAAACATACTAATCTAATCTAATCTAATCTATGTCTCATACATACAACAAACATGCTGTTGGTACTCCTCTGAAATTTACTTTACTGGATCCTTCATACTGCTGTCAGTGTTAACTGCTAACTGAGATATGTGTACAAAATGCTGCTCCCTTACCTCAAGGTGGGATCAGCTCTGTGGTACAATTCATGCTCCAGGGCTGTCCATGAGGTCAGGCTGCAGCTCCACTCTAGAGAAGACCACATCCTTGCTCAGCTCCCGTCTGGGCTCTATCCAGCTTCCTTCACTGTGTTTCTTTTGAGAGCACTCTCCCAATAAATTATACATTCAAATCCCGTTTCAGGGCTATGCTTCGAGGGAACCTGACCTAAGACACTGCATGAGTTAAAGCCAAAAATTGTAAAATCCATTCATGTCCATGACCGAAGATAATATATGCAGAGATATAGGAAGTGACAACATGAAATCAGAGAGAAAAAGGGCCACACAGAGAGATGCCTTTCTTGAGTGAAAAAAAACAAAAAACAACAGGCAGAAGCACCTTCAGACCACATAAGTGAATACAAACCCACTTGGCTGTGCAGTTGGTGAGAACTCCACTATTTAGAATCTGGATTTAGAGAAATTCCAGATCAAAAGCTGGGTATTCTTTGCCATTGGCATTAAAGTTTCTGGAATTTGGAAATGGCCACCTTGATAAAGACTAGTGAAGAAAGGTGACATGGAATTTCAGGTAGAAGAGCCACAAAACCTTGGTGATAAGGTATGTAGAGTCCAACAGAGGTGATTCAGGGGCTACAGTGACTCCTCCATGCGGGGTTACTAGACAATAATATTAGAACCCACTGTGTGTTATGTATAGATGACAAGTTGTATATTATGTATTTATATACAATTATGCTGTCATTCTTAATAAATTTTCTTTTTTTGAGACAAAGTATTGCTCTGTTGCCTGGGCTAGAGTGCCAGGGCATCAGCCTGGCTCACAATAACCTCAAACTCCAGGGCTCAAGCCATCCTCCTGCTTCAGTCTCCCAAGTAGTTGGGACTACAGGAGTGCACCACCACGCCCAGCTAATTTTTTTCTATTTTTAGTTGTCTAGCTAATTTTTCTATTTTTAGTAGAGACGGGGTCTTGCTCTTGCTGAGGCTGGTCTCGAACTCCTGACCTTAAGCGATCTTCCTGCCTCAGCCTCCCAGAGTGCTTCTTAATAAATTCTTAATCAAGTCTACCTCAATGGACTTATTCTTGTCCTTGGAGGAAGCAAGTTACATAATATTCTGGTAATTTGTTATGTAAAAAAACAGCACAAAACTTAGCGGCTTAAACAAGTGCACTCATTTATTTTGCTCATGTATCTGCAATTTGGGGTGGATTCAGCAGGATGACATCCTCATGCTTCATGATTGTCTAGGGCTTGAAGGAAGACTTGAATGTGGGGAGCTGGCTTCCCCACGGCAAGGCAGTCTCAGAGTAGCTGGACTTATTTTCTGGCAGCTGGCTTTTCCCAGAGCAAATGTTTTCAAGACACTCAGGAGGAAGCTGCAAGACTTCTTATGACTTAGCCTCAGAAGTCCCAGCACATGACTTCTACTACAGTCTACTTGTCAAACAAATCACTAAGTCCACCCCAGACTCAAGGAGTAGGGGAATTAGGCCTCATCTCTCCATGGAAGGAGTTTAAGAGAATTTGTAGCCATCTTTAATCCACTATACAGAGGTAGAGAGTGTAGGGGACTGTTTGATAAAAGTAAAGGAGAAATAAGATAGCAATGCTACCTTTCACAGGTAAGATTTTGTTTGTTTTTTTAAGGACAAGATAATTTCAGCGTGTTTGAAGACTGAGCAAAAAGAAGCACAGAAGAGAGTAGATTAAGGAAGTAAGAAAGAGAGTGTTTGCTGTATCAAGGTTCCAGGACTTCAGGGAGCAGCCGTATCTAGTACAGGGATTGGTGTTCTGTGGATGCAAACTCTTTGTTTGCATCCCTGAGTGTTGGTAAAATCATATGAAACTTCACAGCCTGGGCTGGGTTTTGCTGGGGGGAGGTAAGGGAAGGGTTGCTTCCACTTTTGGGCTGGAAAATAGTAGGGGGAGCTGTGTCTCTCGATGCTAGGGCATGGCCCATGTCAGCTTTCCCCATCTGACTAGGGCCTGCCACAGGGTAGGGCCACGTCTTCAATTTCTCTACTTCCTCCTACATAGCCCTATGTAGGACACTGCAGCAAAAGCATAACCTGCAAACTAGAATGTCAGTGCTACGGCTTAGGCAAAACAATAGGTTTAAATGAGAAAGATGTGTGGTGGAGAGGTAGGGGTGAGGCTGTTGTGCAATTCAGCTTAACCAGGCCTGAAAGGGGTGCAGAATGAGGAAGTCAGTACCTGGGTATGAGTGTGGGACCTGGGTATGAGTGTGGGGGTACATCCTAGTATCTTAGAATTCTGTGATCTGAGATAAGACTGAGAGGCTTCACATGTATATGAGGGGTTTTCTTTGTTTCTCAGAGGCTGAGGTAGCACTGTAGGGATTATTCCTCACAGAACACAGGTTATGTCAGACAATATTCTGGTTATCTATTGCTGAGTAACACACCTTTCTAAAACTTGGAGGCACAAAACAGCAATGAGTTTATCATTTCTCAGGATTTTGGATAAGGCACAGTTAGGAAAGACCTGTCTCTGTGGTAGGTAATGTGGAACAACCCAGAGAGCATCTTCACTCAATGACTGATCTCTTAGCTAGGATGAGTCCACCAGGTTCAGGTGTCTGGGGCCTTTCCCACTCCATGTGGTCTCTGCATGTGGTTTCTCTCCAGTAGGGTGGATGAAGGGAAACCACTCATGACCACTAAGAGCTCGAAGTCAAGACTGCCAGGTCGTTTTAAAGCTTGGAGCTGAACTGACACATTGTCCCTTCCACCACATTCTTCTACTGGTTAAATAGAGTCACAGGCCCAGTCCAGATTCTCAGATCGAGGACCACACAAGGTTACGCTACTGGGAGGCATATTTCATTGGGGGCCATCAAAGTAACAAACTACCACACAAAAAGGGGCCAGGGACAGACATGTGCAGGCTGAGGGTGTTCCATTTCTTAATTCTAAGTTGTCCTCTCTTCAGAGAATATGGTTGGCAGGCAAATGTTGGGGAGAAAGGTAACCCCAAACTTCTCCCACAAATTAATGGTGTTAAAGGTGGGGTTTCTGGTCTGCGGTGATCAGCTTGATATCAAGGAGGCCTGGTTGTGTGTCTTCATTCAGTCTATCAGGCATTTACTTAGCACAGCCCATATGGCAGGTTCTTAACACACTCGTTCGTTATCCCTATTTTACCGAGGCTCTAATGCGGCACTGCCGATTCCACAGTACCGCACCTAGCACCACGCCCCGGCGCCGCCTCCCAGCTCTTTCCGCCCGGCAGCTACAGCTCGGGCAGAGCTCTGAGGACAGCGGGGTCTTCAAGAGGGCAACACTCGACGCGGCCAGCTCGGCTGGCAGAGCGGCCGGCCCCCAAGCAGCTAATGGGTCGGCTACTGGTCGCCGTCGTCCTGAGCAAAGGGCGACAACTAGAGTACAGGGGTACCCCAGCAGCGAAGCCAGGTCTCAGCTAGTCGCGCGCGCCCGCGCCCCGCCCACACACGCACGCTTGCACGCGCGCGCCGGCCCCGCCCACCGCTCAGCTCTGGTCCCGCCCTCAGGATTGACCGCCCGAGCCACCGTCCACACAGCCCCGCCCCGCACGGCCAGGCGAAGCGGAGCCGGCCGTGCGGTGTGCGTGTATGTGTTCGCGGGGCGCCGTCTCAGCCCCGGGAAGATGGTGGCGGCGGCGGCGGCGACTGAGGCGAGGCTGAGGAGGAGGACGGCGGCAGCGGCAGCGCCCGCGAGCAGGAACGGCGGGTTGCGCCGGGACTGGGACGTGACCCGTGCTGGGAGGTCGGGACTGGGGGCCGGGTTGCGCCTCCTGCGGCTGCTGTCGCCGCCGCTCCGGCCGAGGCTGCTGCTGCTGCTGCTCCCGCCGCTGCTGCTGCTGCTTCCCTGGGACGCGGAGGCCGCGGCGGCGGCGGCGGTGGTGTCGGGCTCAGCCGCAGCCGAGGCCAAGGAATGTGACCGGCCCTGTGTCAACGGCGGCCGCTGCAACCCTGGCACCGGCCAGTGCGTCTGCCCTGCCGGCTGGGTGGGCGAGCAATGCCAGCACTGCGGGGGCCGCTTCAGGTGAGTGGGGGGTGGTGTTGGAGGGCCGGGCTCAGCGGGAGACTGGGGCTGAGGGGCGCAGGAGACGGCTCCAGGCCAGAGGCGGATGCCGGACAGAAAGTGGAGAGGGTAGGGCTGCCCCACGGCGTTCTTGGACCATTTGCTTCCGGAGAGATGGTCGCCTGTGGCCTGGGGAATTCCTCTGGTGGAAGGTGAAAAGGTGCGAGGCAAGGGTGTGGGCACCCCAAAGGTATTTGGATGCCGCGGGCTAGATTGGAATAATGCTTGTGGTCCCAAAGAGTATCAAAGGCAGTCTTTGAAATTGGGCCTATTTCGGATAAAAGAGGTATCAAAGGAAAGGTGAGTGAGCCAGTCTTACTTAAACAATTCCTTTTAATATCCATTTGTATCGTAGAACCTGATGAGTTCCCCGACTGATTGGAGATATGGGGAACTGTGGAGAAACGGGGCCCTGGAAGTGATTTGTTGGCTAGAGATAAAGGGGAAAGGGTAGGATCATGAGATAATAGGAATAGAAGAACCAGCGGTTGTTGGGTAAAGGAAGGTGAGGAAACTAGTCTTTTGAAGCTCTCTGGAGGTGGCAGATTGGAATAGAGTCTGTGGTAGAGAGGGGATGGAAAGAGATTCCTGTTTGCCCTGGTTTCTGGACAATATGGAGTTCTGAGTTGGCCTGGTTCGGGGTAGTACCTCTTGGAGAGATCACTCATTAATTAATTAGCAGTTATCTATTGTTTGCTTCAGTTGTGCAAGGATTCCAGATAGCACACACAAAACAAATAGTTTAGCCAGACTTTGGCCTGGTCCACAAGGAGTTTGGAATATGACAAAAGAAAGATATGCACAGACATAACCCCAGTCATAAGGGCTACAGAGTCATTCATGCCTTTGGCATATATTTACTGAACATCTCCCATGTCTGATGTGGGGAAGTGGGGAAATGTGAACAAGACAGATGTCCCTGCTCTCATGGATCTTACTTTCTAGTGGGGGCAACAGGCACTTAAGTAAATAAGTGAAAGAAATGAACAAGATAATTTCAGATATCAGTAATCAAGAAAATAAAACAGGGTGGTCTAATAGAGAATTATAACCTGTGGTGACTTTAGGAGAAGCCTTTCATTTGAAGTGGCATTTGATCTGAGACCTGAATGAGGCAATGGAGAACTGGGGGAATTCAGGGGTGGAGAGGTTGTGACTAGCTGGGTGAATGAAAGGAAGACTTTGAGGAGGAGATAACGTTGGATTTGAGCATTTCAGGGTAAGTAGGATTTGGAAATGAGTGGGAAAAAAATTCCAGATGGAAGGAAGAATGCAAACAAAGTTGTGAAACCTGGAATGTAAAGTTTTGCTGGTGCCTATGTAAAAGACAGTTATGAGAGAAGAGCTTAAATTATAAAATTGTAGACTCAGGTAATGTCAGATCTTCTAGGGAACTCAAAGAACATTGAGCAGATGGGCTCTGTAGTTTTATAGGTGGAGAAACCAAGTGACTTCAGGACCAGTATGTAGGGAGACTGGTCTTGTTACTTACTTTGATTTGTAAGTAAGATGTTTTGATTTATGCATTCTATTAATCTACATACATTTGTTGAGGGCTCCTTTGTTTTAGGTTGTGAGATACTGTGGTAAACTAGACACAGTCCTTTTTTGGAGCTTACAGTCTGGCCTGGGAATAACAAATTCAATAATCAATTTATTACAATTTTGTTTAAGGCTGTGGAGGTGAAGAGCGGGGGACAAATAGAGGACTTGGTTTGGAGTAACAGTGAGGTTGGTTACTGAGTAAATGACTTTTGAGTTGAAATCTGAGGGTTGAGATGGTACTACCTATGAGAAGGGTGGGTTGCTGAGGGGCCAGCATGTCCAGAGGCTTGGGACGAGTGGGATCATGGTAGGCTGGATGAAAGGCCAGGTGACTGGAACAGAGAGAGCAAAAGGGAGTTTGGCAAGACTTGAGAGATAGGCAGCGGCCAGGCCAAGTGGAGATACGTGGGCCAGATTGAGAGTATTGACCTTTAGCCCAAGAGCAGTGGAATGGCGTAGTTCACTCTGATTTTCGTGACATTAGAGACTTTTAGATTAGAGCCAGTGTAGGAATGGCCTTGAAGGTGAGTTTGAATTTGAGGAGCATCCAAGATTAGGTGAATGGATGGTTGGATCAGATTAAGGTCCTCAAGTTCTGAAAATCTGGGACACTATGGTTGGCAGTGGGGACCCACAGGAAGGAACATTCATAGCAAGACCAAACTGTCTGTAATATGCAGAGTAGGTAGACTCATTTTTGGGCATGAGAGACAGTGGGCAGCTAGGCAGGATCTGTTGGCATGATTCAGGGCAGTGGTAATGAGCTGGAGACAGGCTGTGGGAATGGAGGCAGGGATAGATGCTGTGTTGGGTTGTAGAGGGAAAGGGAACAGGTCTTTCTTTGAAACTGGTTTGCTCTTGGGAAAAGAAAGGGGGATGGTGAAGGAAAGAAAACTAGATCCTATCTTGGGCGATTGAGAGGGTGGTGATAACATTAACAGACGCGGGGACACAGGAGGAGCAGGTCTGAGACACGTTTAATTTTGCATACACTGAGTTGTATGTTCTCAGGGTATGCACTTGGCAGATGTAAATGTTGGAGTCATCTACGTGTGAGGGAGATTGCTAGGGAGAGAGACAGGTCTTAGTGTCCATATGAACAGTCCAGAGGATTGGAGAAGAGCCACTTGTTACAGGAAATAGGCAGCCCTGACACTGGTTGTCTCAAATGGTGTCACATATGAGTGAAGGGGTTTCCCTGGTTATTGCGGGCCTTCCCTTTGAGCTGCTTCTAGGTGATGTCAGTATTATTTCCTGGGCAAACAGTTATGACTTTGGTACTGATGATACCATTATATTTTGTGGGCTTCTGGAATTTGCATTTTAAAAAATGAAACTAGAAGGAATTTATGTCTGTGATCTTTTAAAAAACTTTCTTTACATTTTTAGTTGAGGGATTTTTTTTTTTTTTTGGGTGAAGAGTAAAATGTTGGTTTTGATTGCAATGGTATGTATCTTGATTAAATTTATAAATCTTGTTCCTAAACTATAAGACATTAAATGAATACCTTTCTGGTGTAGAACGGCATCAAGTCAGAGTGGTTTTTAAGCTTTTTAGTTCTGTAAATCCTGCATTATAATTGCTGTTATAGGTCTTTTTCATTAATTGATTTTTCTTTCTTTTTTATTTTTTGTGGGACTCTGTCTCACTCTTTTGCCCGGGCTAGGGTGCCGTGGCTTCAACCTCGCTCACAGCAACCTCAAACTCCTGGGCTCAGGTGATCCTGCTGCCTCAACCTCCCGAGTAGCTGGAACTACAGGCATGCGCCACTATACCCGGCTAATTTTTTCTATATATTTTAGTTGGCTATTTAATTTCTTTCTATTTTTTTAGTAGAGATGTGTTCTCTTGCTCAGGCTGCTTTCAAACTCCTGACCTTGAGCTATCCGCCCTGTGGGGCCTCCCAGGGTGCTAGGATTATAGGTGTGAGCTGCTGCACCCAGCCAATTTTTTCTTTTATATATATTTTTTTCTTTTTAGCATTATAGGAAAGAACAAGAGAAACCATTTTTATGTACAGATGACATGATTTTTTTTTTTTTCCAGCAGGGTCTCACTCTGTCACCCAGGCTGCAGTGCTATGGTGCGATCATAGCTCACTGCAGCCTCAAACTCCTGGGTTTAAGCAATCCTCTTCCCTCAGCCTCTGGAGCAGCTAGGACTACAGGTGCAAGCCATCACACCCAGCTAATTTTTTGTAGAGACAGGCCTGGCTATGTTTCCCAGGCTGGTCTTTAACTCCTGGCCTCAAATGATCCTCTTGCCTTGACCTCCAAGAGTGCTAGGATTACAGACATGAGCCACTGCACTTGACCTTTCATTAATCGAAAAGAACATAGGATAATAGGAGGATTAAATTTCACTAAAGTTATTACTGAGTGCATACTATATGCCAGGGACTTGGCCAAGCATTTTCATAAACATCGTACTGTTTAATTCTTAGGACAACTCTGAGGATGTTATGTAAAATTTGGATTATTGTATGGTGGTAGTTAGTACATATTTTTCCAAATGAAAGATGATACAGAAATGATGAATTAGAGTAAGGTTAATGGTGTAAGTTTAATAAAAATAACTATAGAATCTTTGGTGTATTATTTCTAAGACAATACCACTTTCATTTTTATGTGAATCTTCATAATTCAATGACTTCTTTACTGCTTGTGACATCACCATCAAAATTTTTCTTTGGAGAATAAATAGGGTCCATCAAGTTAGGGAATAAAAATATTAAGCCCAATTGCAAAATTAATATGCCTTCAATTCTCTTTAAGTTCCTGCTATACAAAACTTTTGGGAGATTGAATAGAATAACCTACTGAATTGGAGGCTTATAGTTACCCATGATGTTAAGATGTACCTTCTATAGAAGAAAAAGAAAGAAAATAAGTATTTATTGAGCATCTATTTTCTGCCCAGCACATATAGTAATAGTAGTAGTAGTAGTGGTCACAGCATTTGCCACCATTTTTATAGCATTTCTCTATTTTTTTCCCAGGCATTGTGCTAAATGCCTTTTAGAAATATTCCCCTTTTAATTCTTAGAGTGAAGCCATTCCCATTTTACAGATGGGTAAACTGAAGCTTGGAGATACTGAGTAACTTGCCCAAGGCACAGAATTTATGCAGATTTTGAGTTTGGACTCAGGCCTTGTTTTATTCCCAAACCTGTGTTCTCTTTGTTGTACCATTGGCCTCTCATTTTTCCTGAGTCCAGTCCCCCTTTATGAGCATTCTTTGAAAGGGCTGACCTAATTTTTTTTTTTTTTTTTTTTTTTTTTGAGACAGAGTCTCGCTTTGTTGCCCAGGCTAGAGTGAGTGCCGTGGCATCAGCCTAGCTCACAGCAACCTCAATCTCCTGGGCTCAAGCAATCCTCCTGCCTCAGCCTCCCAAGTAGCTGGGACTACAGGCATG